TGGGGGTGGGCATGAGCAGGGATGGGAGGAGTGGGGTCCAGGCCTGGGGCTCCCCTGGTGAAAGCCATTTATGCAGGATAGTAGAAGGGGTGCCTAGGATTTGGATAGACCTTGATAGAGGAGCCAAGCTAGAGGAGGACTTGAAGAGGTGGCGAAAGTCCCTTCAGTTCCTTCCTGGAGAGACCCCATATTCAGTCTCAGCTAGGGAACTGATGACTCCTCCTTTCCTGGCCAGAGAGGAATCTCCAGGCTCATGGCCTGGGGCAGGGACCATCCGACTGGAGCAGGATGTATTCTCAGCCCTGGCTGGGCAGGGCCAAATCTATGTGCACCTCACCGATGGTATCTGGAGCCAGATCAAGTCTGCAGGGTATGTGGGCGGCTGGGGAAGAGCCTGTCCGTGCCTCTGATCTTGAGGCTCTAAGAGTGTGGCATTGGGATGGTAGGCACAGGTCCTTCTGGACCCTGATGGCACAGAGGCTGGGGAAGAGCCTGTCCGTGCCTCTGATCTTGAGGCTCTAAGAGTGTGGCATTGGGATGGTAGGCACAGGTCCTTCTGGACCCTGAGTACCTCACCCCCTTTTTGGTCCCCAGCTCAGCCCTCTATGCCTCCCGCCTCTATCTGGGCCGATACCAGATCACTCACCCAGAACGGCTGGCCAAGCACACTCCAGGGGGCCCACGAATCAGAGGTACACAGCCCAGCCCAGCCCAGCCCAGCCCATTATTACCCTTTACTCTCCCATGCCCTTGGAGCCTACACTCTTCACCTTAGGGGCAGAAGCGAAGGCTCACTCTCTTCCCTTCCCTGTCCACATGTGTTTGGGGGAACCTGCCCCCAGGTTGTTTCTTCTGCTTCTAGGAAACGTTTACATCCATCCAACTGCTAAAGTGGCCCCATCAGCTGTGGTGAGATCTGGTCCCAACCTCAGGGAGAAGCTGTTGGGATTGGTGGGGATTCCCAGGGACTCAGCTTGGGTGCTGGTCTGTGTCTTTGCTTTTATACACCTGTTGTGTGGCCTTGAGCACCCTCACATCCCCGCACTCTCATGGTATGATGGTCCTCTCCACAGCTGGGCCCCAATGTCTCCATTGGGAAGGGGGTGACTTTGGGCGAGGGTGTGCGTCTGCGAGAGAGCATTGTCCTCCACGGAGCCACTTTGCAGGTAGGTAGGAACCAGGCACACAGTAGTGTGTGGTACCCAAAAAGCTGAGGGGGGAGGGCCCAGTTATGCCTCCGAGGTGAGAGGGGTGGACCCAGCCCCAGGCTCTGTATCTCCCTTCCACACATTCTTGTGCCTGCCTCCCATTTCACTCACCTTGAACCACCCTACTTGACAGGAGCACACCTGTGTCCTTCACAGCATCGTGGGCTGGGGAAGCACTGTGGGGCGCTGGGCCCGTGTAGAGGGGACGCCCAATGACCCCAATCCCAATGACCCCCGAGCTCGCATGGACAGTGAGAGCCTCTTCAAGGATGGAAAGCTACTTCCTGCCATAACTATCCTGGGTATGGTTTGTTGGGGAGGAGGGAGGGGGGTTAGGGGGAAGAGTTGGGAAGCTTCACAAGTGATATCTAAGGGAACATTCGTTCTTGTATATATTGTGTGTGTGCGTGCGTGCGTGCGTGCGTGTGTGTGTGCATGTGTGTGTGTATTATTCTTTCAGCAAGTGTGTGTGTGTGTGTGTGTGTGTGTGTGTGTGTGTGTGTGTGTGTTATTCTTTCAGCAAACATTTACCAAGATCCAACCATGTACCCGGCCTGAATGAGTTACTGGGAGATGGGACCAGGGACACAGATGGGCAGGGAGGGCTTCCCCCTTGATGGCCTAGCCAAGGGCCCAGCTCCCTATCACCTCTCATGGCCTCCTTGCTCCTGGTGCCCTCATCCATGCTTCAGGCTGCCGTGTCCGGATCCCTGCTGAGGTGCTCATCTTAAACTCGATTGTTCTGCCACACAAGGAGCTGAGTCGAAGCTTCACCAACCAAATCATCCTGTGAGGGTGCTACATAAAGGCCCCCAGGACTCCTGCCCACACTCCTTAGGGCTGCTGCCTGCCTGGCCATCTCTGTCCAGAAAGGATCTGAGGAAGCCAAGCCAGGCAGAATCTTCCCTTTGCAAGGAGCCACCAAAGGGAGCCACCTGTGTGTGGTGTGTGTGTGTGTGTGTGTGTGTGTGTGTGTGTGGCAAGGGACGTCTGGCCTCCCTCTCCACTCCCAAATAAACCCCTCTGAACCTTGGAGCCAGCTTGGACTCCCGCTTGTGCCTGGGCTGGGGGTGGAGGTGCAAGAGGGGCAGCTGAGCCAGACCCCCCCACATTAGCATTTAAATTGGAGTCGTTGCTGCTGGCTCATGAATAATGAATCCTGGTAAATCCCCCCTCCCACTGCCTCGGCCTTCTGCACTAGCTGCTTTAGAGGAAGGCCCTCCAGGCTCCCTGGCCTGCTGGCCCCCCTGACCTTCGCCCTGTTTGCCTGCCTCCCTGGGCCTGGCTCTATAGAACTGGGAAAACTGAAGGATTTCAGTGGGCACACTTGCTGGGAGGCTTGGGCCCAGGCTGAACACCCAGCAGCCTGCTCTCCTCAGCTCCTGCCAAGACCCAGCCCTGGCCTGTTTAACGCTTTGCCAGCTCCATCTGCTCCCAGACTGGCTTTGGGGAGTTGGGGGTTTTGCCCCTTCCCAAGGGCCTCCCAGGCTCTGTCTCCCACTCCTCTGGCAGAGGTCTCTGCTCTGGGAGATGCCTTGTTACCTTTTGGCAGCCTGATACCTTCTGGTAGGTCCAGCCCTGCTCTTCTCACATCTCTCATGTTTGCCCATGACCCCAGTGTGCCCCTCTTGGCACCCCCCTTTCCACAGCTGTGGGTGCTGAGCTTAGTTGCCAGATGAGCTGGTAATGATCGTAATCTGCTAATTGAGAGGAATCTAATTACCCGAAGAGAATAGGGGGGCAGGGTTTGGGTGGGAGGCAGGAGGGGGTCCTGGCAGGCAGCTTGGGTGGCAGGCAGCAGGGTATTGGGGCCTTGTTGTCAACACCAGGGCCTGGGACAGAGCCCAGGACATCATAGTTTCCTAGGCAGGCTGTTAGAAAGATATACGAAAGCTAGACCAAAGCTGACCTGGGGACTGGCCTACATATGACCTCCCAGGTCCCCGAAGCTGGGAGATAGCCATGGGAGATGGCCCAGAGTCTTAGCCATCCTAACCTGTAACCTGCGTCTCCTCGGCCCCTTTTCTTGGTTTCTTCCCAACCTGCCTCCAGTAGAGACCTATCATCACCATCCGCAGAGGGTTGCAGACCCACTCAGCCTGGGGTCACCTCCCTAAGGAAGGGGCTAGGAGAGGGCTGGACCACAGGGCCAAGCTCTGGGTCCCTTTCCTCTCCTCCCCCTGTCCTGACCCTTCTGTTCCAAGTGGTTGGCAGAGGCCATGGCAGCTCCATCATAAATATGATAATTTAATTATTTTCTCAGCAAAACACCGTGAAATCCAATAAGTCTGTGTCAGGCCCTGGCCCCCGGGACCCCCCTCCTAGACCCAGTGGGGGTGGAGACATGATGGCAAGAGGCACTAGAAGGGGAAAGGGTCAGTGTTTGAAGGTGGGGTGGGGCAGGGAAGTTGAACCCTTCAAAACATTCCCCAGGCTGGGAGGGGGGGTCACAAGTACAAAGTGTCTTAACGGTGAGGGGTGATCTCCCCCACTTCTCCCTAGCACTGGGAGAAGCCAAAGCCCCATCTGTCTAAGGGGGCACTCTCAGCACTTGATGTGGGAGCACTCTGCCTCAAGAGGTAGCAGGGAGCCCCCTTGTCTGCTACACTGGGACCCTGCACCCAACCTTGGTCTCATGGAGGTATAGGTGTAGGAGGGTGCTGGCTCAGGGATGGGTTAGAGAAGGGAGAAAGCAAAAGGAACTGTGGTGGGAAGTGGGGGAGGGAGAAGGGGGAGGGATGCGGGGGAGGGGTGTGCTCCT